TTGTGGATTCGACGTGGATGTTGTGGATTCAACATCAAGCAGATCAATTCCGAGACGAAGGCATTAGTGAAAGAGGAACAAATTGTTGAAGACAATTTTATAGAGTTCGAGTAAATTGTTTGGTAAATTTGTATTCTTTCATTCTTCATAGTGGATTGATTTGTGGCGTTTAATCGGTGGTTTTTATTTTGTATTTTATATTTTTTTTATCACAGTTGGAGGTGCTCCAACTATGATTTTTTCCACGTAAAAATCGTTTGTGGTGATTTATTAATTGTGAAACAACAATCTAAATATCTTTTGTAGAAGCTAGATGATTTAGATTGTCAGTTTTATTTGTTTGGGATTTGTTGCAATTAAATCTATTACGAATCACGAATCACGTAGGTTTTTCAATATGCGTTCACCTTATGACCTCGTTAAGATTCATATATTGTGTTAAAGTATCTTTACTTGGTTTTAGCTTACTTTATGTGGAAAACAAATTTTAGGTGTTGATGACATGCCTCTACCAAGGACGTAGCTTGGGAGGACTTAAAACCAAGAGCTTCATTTTTTTTATTTGATGTAATTATTTTGTACAAACCTTGGGCTTTAATTGTATTGAGTTGAACTCATTTTGATGTACCCAAGTATCGACTTGGAAATATGTAACCAATAGGGCATATAATTACTTGGTGTTTATTTTATATTTTATATTTTATATATTTTTTATTTTAATGTTGGTACACATGTTATATGCTATAGATTATGGATCTAGGATTTATGAATGTATACATGCATATGTAATCTTTTGTATGATCAAAGATTATAAATGGAATATAAAATATGATGTTATTGATCAATTGTAAAGAATGTTATGAGATGGGTTATTGTTATTATTTCGGGGTGTTACCTCTTCAACTTCTTCCTTCTTTGTTTTGTGGGATCCCTATGTTTCCAACTAGCTTTCATCTATGGGATTCTCTCTCGAAGTTTGCAATTCCATGAATGAAGACATCATTAACTCTCTTTCTAATTTGATTATGGAATATTGGAAGAGTCTTGGGTATCAAGTCATTATAGATTTGAAGATCACCATCAATCTCGGGCTAGTTTCTAGGGAATCGATAAGCGATCTGATGATGAATCTGTTCGCCATAGATATGGTGGTTATCGTAGAGGATGGTGGTGGTGTTGATGAAACTATAGAGACAATGAGGACGATGAGCGGTGTTTCAAAGGCCACCATTGATGTGTGTTCATGGTATTTTTTTTAAATTATTTTCTCAATTTCTTCAACATAGCTAATAGGTAATTTCAAATTTTAGCATAACCATTTAAACCTATTCAAATTTTGTTCGGTTTTGCTCAATTAATGTTGTATTAACCAATATACATGTATATATATATATATATATGAATACAATTTCTCTATGAGTTTAATTTATTCAATGTTGTAGTTCAATTTTCTCTAGTTTGGTTAAAACACAGAGAACATTGTGAGCAAACTAGAGAAAATTGGTCAAAACACAGAGAAATTTATGAGCGAATCAGAGAAATTTCAAAATAAAGAGAAAATTTCAAAACAAAGAGAAAATCAGAGAAATTGAGTAATCTAGAGAAATTTCATACCAGAGAAATTTCAAACCAGAGAAATTTCAAACCAAAGAAATTTCAAAACACAGAAAAATTTGTCTGAAATTTGAATATGTTTTGAAATTTCTCTGAAAAAATGTTGAGGGACCTCAAGCACTATGAAATATTGCATGTCCTTTATTCTATGAAATCTTAATACCAGAGACCATTTAAAAAAAAAAATTCCACTAAAAATATTTGATTTTAACTTAATTTTATTTCTTAATTTATAAAAATTATATTTTATTATTATTTTTTTTACTAGATTAACTCAAATAATAAACAAAAAATACATTTAAGTTCAATCAAAAGCAAAAACAAAACCTATACTATACTTAAAATCGTATTTTACGTGCTTTTTAATAAATTGGATGTAATTACATGAGAGATGAAAAAATGTCATGATACTCTTTAGTGGAAATAATATTAAAATATGTAACTAATTCTTCATTATACAGGTTATCTGTGTTTATTTCGTATTATATAGAGTTGACATTAATCTGACTTATTTAATATTCGTGTTATCGGGTCGTGTCATATACGTGTTCGTGTCAAGAAATGATCAACCATAACCTGCTAATTTAGCATACAGTTCGAATCAAGTTATCGTGTTATGTCGCAAATTCCTACCCTTAGTTCGAACTAAACCTAATATCCTAGCCTAATTCATGATGAGCACACATAGATGGAGAGATGGGTGATGGATGAAAGTTGATAATAATAGTTGCTTGACGGATTGTAATGGTGAGTTAATATTAACTATAACAGATTGCGCAGTGTCAGACTGAATCCTTTTTCTTTTGCTTCTCCTCATTTTACAATCATTTACATTGGTTGTATAGCGATTCCGGTTTTGCCCCGACTTTCATGGTGTTCCAGACTCGGGTTCCGTCGTTGAATATTGTGTCCATGTCTTGTTTTCCTCCTTTGACTCTTTGCATTTGAGTTTTGGAACTTGTTAGGTGAGTTTGGAACAGGTTGGTTGTTAGTTGGTTTAGATTGTTGTTGTCCAGACTTTGGTCTCTTCGCTCGAGTGAGGCTTCTTGCGCTCGAGCGAGCTTTTTGTAATTTGCTCATTCGCTGGAGCGAGGTTTCTTGCACTCGAATGAGAATTAGGAGTTCTTAGGTTTCCTTCCAGACACAGCATTTTTGGGAAAGATGAAGTTCTTCGCTTGAGCGAGACTTCTTGCGCTCAAGCGAGGGTGTGCATCTGTGAAATACCTGAAGGTATGCATTCTACGCTCGAGCGACACCTCTTGCCCTCGAGCGAGGTAACTTATTGTGTCTGGTCGCTCGAGTGACAACTCCTTCGCTTGAGCGAAGGTCGTGTATATCAGTTCGCAGCTGGGTCATTTTACTTCACTTTTTGATTTTTTTTCATCCCAAAACCCTAATTCGACCCTCTGTCTCTCTAAAACTCTCTCTCTCTCTCTCTCTCTCTCTCTCTCTCTATAAATACATCTTGATTTGGGGGTCTCTCAACTCTAGTCCTTTTGTTAAAAAGGTAGAGCACCATGAGGGCTCTGTGTTAATCCGAATAAATCGTGGTGTCGGCTTGTTTGAAGTGTCTCCATCTTGTCCTTTGCTCTCCTAACGTTGATGTAGGGATATTCTACTCTTTGATATGATTTTTAACCTAGGTATTTGTCATTTTGTACAAATGGTAGAGTTAGGAGGTTTTAGGTGAAGCTAGGGTTTGGGTTTAAATTTTGAAAAAAAGGGTTTCCTATATTTGGCTTCACATATGTAGATAAGCGCTTGATTATGGTGTTATATGAAAATAAATGGTGAGATTGGGTCTTGGGGATGATATTGGGAATAGGGTAAGGTTTTGCCCTAATTTATGTTAAATGACTATTTTGAATAAATAATGAAATTGACATGGGAAATATGAAATTGGAAGGGTGCATGATTGAATGGTGTAGTTGGATTTGTTAAATCACTCACTTATGGGAATTTGATAAATTATCTGTTTGATAGATTGTATATCTGTTTAGAAATATCTGTTTTGTGCTATCGGTGGGGGATAGCTATGATTGTTGTAGAAACTGAATGAGGATTAGGCGAATTAAAACTAATCATTTAAATTATGTCATTGAATATGGCAGTTTGATTAAACTATTGAATATGTGATTTGGTTAGTCATTGTATATGACAACGCTTTTAAATACATTGTATATGTATCATTATTTGGGAGGAGATAGGGGATGTACTCCATTGTTTGGGAGGGGATAGGGGATGGACTTCATTGAAAATTAAGTTGGCCGGAGTGTTCAGGGTGAAAGCCCCGAAATCTTATATATATATGGGTTCCGGTTCCCTCGGATGTGATTCTGTAAAATGGCAAGAAAATTGAAGTGTTTTGAATAATGGTTGTTATTGAAGTGCCAATAAATGAGTTGTAATCTCGTTTTGAATTGTTTAGATAACAATGAACTATATCAATGAATTAATTTGAATAAATGAATGGAAATGGACTGAGATATAGATGTCGATTTTGATTGGCCATGGAAAGGGTGTAAGTTGGTTTGCAAGTATTGAACATTTATCTGATGCTGATATCTTAGTTAAATCTCATATATTGTTTTAGCATATCTCTACTGGGCTTTGGCTCACCTTACTTAAGAAACCATTTTCAAGTACAGGTGACATGCCGCCTCCAAGGACATAGCTTGGGAGGTTTAGGGGCTAAAGGCTCCATTCTTGTTATTTTGTCTTGTGTTAAATGTTTATTCAAGCTGAGGGCTTTATATGTATAGAGCTTAGGACTCTTTTGTTGTAACAAAGTAATATCTTGGAAAGATGTAAGCCCGTAGGGCGTTTTTTTTGTTGTAATTAATTAGTGTTACATGTAGTTTCAGAATGAATATTTGTGAAAGTATAATGCATGTAATCTCTTTTGTAAAATAAACTCTGATGGATAAAATAATACATTTCCTATTATGTTTATAAATCTCACTACAAGAAATTTGACTTTTAGCGGCGTTTAAAACACGCCACTATATGCTTGAAAAACGCCGCAATAAGTTTTTGCAACGTTTAATATTTTCGTTGTAGATACGGCCGCCGCAATATCTTAGCGGCGTTTCAAAAGCGTCGCTAAAAACATTAGACGGCATTTTTCAAAACGTCGCAAAATCTTTAACAACCATCTACTTTTCCGTCACAATTAATATATGATGTAATGATGACGTCATTCAGTGGTGTTTTTTGAAAATCCGCCACCTTTTTTCATTTTTACTACTTACCTTAGATGTGATGTCATGATGACAACATTTAGTGACATTTTTTTTTGAAAACGCCATTTTTTTTTGAATTTTTTTTTTAAGAATACAACCCAATTAATTGAGAATTTAACTAAGAATAGAGATTGAGATTGAGAATTAACTGAGAATTTATATAAATTTAATTAGGAACAGAGATTGAAAATTAACTGATAATTAGTATATAATAAAACAGATTGGCTCAAATTTAAATTACAATGCCAAATTGAAAACCATAAAAATTCTAGTTTATCTCCTTAGATATTTAACCCTACAACTTTCCAAATCTCAATCATATACTGTCAAACAATTTGAATTTTCTTCAAATCACCCCTTCATTTTTGTTATTTAGTGCAAATCTTCAAATCTTTACTTTGCAACCAGCAGAAGTCAGTTTGTTGACACTATAATAGCCTGTTCAAAAATAAAATGAAAATGTGAGCACATCCAATCAACAGATAAACAAACTTACAACCAAAAAAAAAAAAAAGAGGCAACACTTACTTGCACCAGTTCAATTATAAAGCCTGCACCCAAATTTGCAAATTCAGATCCAGAGAGAAGAAATAGTTAGCAAGATTATACAAGTTACTCATTCATGGGCCAATGCTTATTTAAGGAACAAGCTGGCCAATTTTAGAAATTACACTGCAAAGTGGAACATCACCAATTTCTCTCTCCCTCGAGATGATATCCCCAAATTCAACCTCACAAAATAAGTGAAGGAAACAACAAATTAAGTCAGAAGGAGGAGGAAGACCAGAAGCCAAGCTCATAAAAGTGAACTATTGAGAAAAAAACAAACAAACCTCAAAAGACCAATGGTGTCGGTCTAGTGAAGGAACGTCCTTGAGAATGAACAATTGCCATTGAGCCTAGTTGGAGATTAGTCACACTTTCACCTACAGTCTCCACAATTCTAAGAAGGGACAATATAATTGAAATTGACTTGTGGTGTTCGATTAAATATTAGAAGTGACCTGAAAGCTAGTTAATTGAATATTTATGCCAATGTGACATTCACCTA